TCTGCTCCATCAAGAAATTCGCGTATGTTCTGCAAGATGTATAACGATAAAATGACAACATTTCGATGATATACAAAATATGCATTCACTTACGTCAATTCATTTATATCAATCAGTCATAAATACAAAATAAATTATATTTAAGCAAAAAGGCTAACAGCTTCCATTATGAATTTTATGAATCTAGTTAAAAGACTTTACGTGACTTTCCTATGATTTTGTGATATGACTGTTAAAATAAATAATTATGAATAAATATATTGACATTTATGAATTCAGTGGAATAATAGCAGTGCTCTTTAACTTATTGATTAATTCATGATTAAATGATAAAAATTTTTTAAATGGTATGTAATGTGCTTGTATGTAATGTGTTTATTATTGCTTTATCCAATTATAAATGATTAAACGTTTAAAAGATTTGGTTAATTCTGGGCAGTAATAAACGACTATTTACTCTCTCTCTCTATTTACCAAAAATACTATCGCTATTAATAATAATTTTTTTTCAAAATATTCTGTATATGCAATACAAAAATATACATCAAAATTTTATATATATGCATAGATCAATGATAAATTTTAATTCAAGATAAAATTTTGATCAGTTTTATTTCTTTAGGATATTCAATTTTGATAGTATTTTGTTATTTTTTACTAGTTCTTAAATAATGAAAATATTCACTCTTACATCGGGATATGTTTCGATTTCCTCGTCAGCAGTTCGTATTTCGTCGATTTGAGCATTCAATCCCCCAATCTCTATGGCGTTTGGTGGCAATGGGATCCCAGGTTCAAATGTAGAATAAGTATTGATTAATAAGATAGAAATATTTTTTTCTAGCTCATGTAACGGCTTGATTTTGTGTCCTATGTATTTTTCAGCAATTTGTTGAGAGATTGGCATATAGTAATATTGTCGAAGCAGATCATCCACGATGTAATAAAGAGTATTCCACGTTTTCTGCCACAGACCTTTGGGTCTCGCATAAGTTGCAGATACATAAGATCGGACAGTCGGATAATTGGTACCACCGATGTAATGCTTGAGCCAAGGTGCAGGACCGTATGGAATAAAGCCTACTATAGGCGGTTTGCCTTTAGCAACCTAAAAACTATCTAGTATGTAGAGTGATACTTTTTCTCGTGTTTATGAATCATATAGAAAAGCCTAATTCTGTCTCTAAAAGAAATATGGTATCTATTTTAATATCAATTTATTCTCAAATTGTAAGTAGTATATCAATGTAATCTGTATATATATTATTATTATTATTATTATTATTATTATTATTATTATTAATTGAGAAATTATATTTAATCATATTTATCTAATTTAAATCACAGTTTATATACAATATACACACATTAGATTGTTTATTCTTACCTCCCACAATCCGTATAAACATTGATATACAGTAACATCAATTACTATAACATCAAATTCAACGTTTTTTATCATTTCCAAAAGTTCCTTCGCTTCTTTAATTGCTATCGTTTTTTCACAAAAAGATATTCCCCAATTATATAAAAAGTATATTCCTTCAATTACACCCAATTTTTCCCATTCATTTGGATCATAATCCTTAGATTCGGCCAATTCTTTCATTATATCACCAAAAACCTGAAAATCATAAATATTCTTTATTACATAAGATGAAAAGCAGCACGTGTGATCTCAGGAAACAATAATTATGTAAAGCCGCATGGTTGCTGTATTAATTTGACGTTTAAATAATATCTAAATAATAGTGGAGCAAAATGAATATGTAATGCGTAATGATGTTACTTGCTGAAAATAATAGCTTTATCTAGAATATATTCAGACTAGCTTTAAGCCCACGCTACCCGCGGAAGTACATTTTTTTTTTTTTTTTTTGCAAGAGAGGGAAAAATACGTTATATACACCCCGCCACCAGGTGTGGCGGGGTAGTGTGGGATCCTCACTCACTAATAACCCTCTCTATACACGACTGCCTCAGGTCAAAACTGACAATCTTGTTCCTTTTTGCGACATAGCAATCTAAAGGCCAGTTTAACATTATATAGTTTAGTGTCTATGTGTGTCAGTCTGTATTATGAATAAAAATTTATACCCTTTTCAAATAAAAGAACCCCATTATTTACCCGCTATTTAGAATATATTATTTTTTTAAGGCTGAAGTATCCACCGCTGACCTGCCATTGTTGGCTCTCATACAATTTTATAACTCATCAATTTACAAAACCTCTCGGTATACGACATTTGTCGTAAAAGATTTAGGATCTCCCTCAATAAGATGTCCTTGATTGCTGAGCTTATCAATCTTAACTTTGACACTTCCCCTTTTGGTTGCTCTAGAGAATGATACATAGAGTTGTCCATGAGCAAATACGGGATGTGGCAGATAAATTCCAACTTTTTGTAAAGTTTGTCCCTGAGATTTATTAATTGTCATAGCAAATGACACTCGAATAGGAAACTGTCTCCGTTTGAGCCTGAACGGAAGTTTCGAGTCGTTTGAAAAGAAATCGATCCTTGGGAGGAAGATAATCTGACCTCGAGCAGGACCAATCAATAATGACCGGTTATCTAACACCCGTGCACGAACCGAGCTCGTGATTTTTGATGCCGCGCGGACGACGCGTTATCGTTGATACGATACAGGCAATGACACTCTCATTCTACAATCATATAACTTCTATGTGGATGATTTCTATAGTTTGGCGGATGCTATGTGCCATAAAAAGTTCATAATGTGCGATTCGATCGCCATAAACCTCACATTCGAATCCAAACTTCTTATTTTCTCATAAATAACTTTATTTCGAAAAAATTACTATCTGGAATATACAAAATATAAAGACCATTTGTGAAGTGGCAACAGTAATATGACATGATGCAATGCGATGCGAAACGGGTACGGTTTCCCAAAATAACTATAACTACAAAATTTTTGGAAGTCTGCGACAAAGGCAAAAAAAATATCTAGAATATATCAAAACGTATAATAGAATATAAAAATCGTAGCCATCCCCGAAAAATTAGCAAAATTTTGGTACCGATTTCGAGAAAATCGGTCCATAAATGTAGAAGTAGTTCGCGGTCAGACAGACAGACGTCAGCTATATATATATATATATATAGATTTCTTGTAATATATACTTACAGCGTACGTCATATTCTGCGCGAGTTTACCCTTGATATTGGGTTCATGGATGCTCACTATGTGTACGTGATGACCATTGCGGAGTAATCCTTTCAATAGACTTATCGTCCAAATATGATGACTACTTGATGCTACGGGCTGTATCAGTAAAATCGACAACGAATTTGACATTGTCGCGAGTCCCATTAAAGTACAATAAAAAACCAAGTTTTTTAACATGGTTAATAAAGTAGTGCGAATATCTCTTGCTTCACTTGCTTGCTATCGTAGTCGGGTTTCACGTTCGACTATACTTATCCAATCAAGTATTTGCGCAATTGCTACTGCACTTCTCTCTCTTTCTCTCTCTCTCTCTCATTCGTTTGCAGAGATTACTTTGATACTTTTTATTTGAAATTGTTAACCCATATATTAGTGATAACATCTGCAAACTTTTAAGATAGATCTCCAAGAATTTTACTTATTTTTCTGATCTAAATTGAATATTATAGTTAAATATAATAAAGATTTAATACATAAAAAATATTATTAACAATATTATCTATAATAATATCCATAATTAAATATAAAAATGTATGATTAAGACAATCTTATTTTTTAAACTATTTTATTATAATATCTTATTTTTTAAACTACTACAGCATATAAATATGTTATCTAATCTATTGATATATGTTATAAGCTTAGTTATATCATCAAAGTTAATCAATTAAATACGATAATGATTTAACATGATGATATAGCACAAATACGCTATCAGTATTTAAGCGCAATCTTTCTTGAGATAATTCCCAGACAGCACAAGGATGTCCTTAGGACGTCCAAAGGGCATCCAGGACATACATGTAGGATATCCATCAATTAAATACGATAATGATTTAACATGATGATATAGCAAAAAATACGCTATCAGTATTTAAGCGCAATCTTTCTTGAGATAATTTATTAACTACACACATTCAAAAAGTTGTGTAAAAAATCAATCATATTACATATATCTAACAAAGTATATAATATCGTATCATTTGATATATTGCTGCTGAGATTAAATGAAGACTATTGACATAACACTCTTTATCATGAGCGGTAATATAATAATTATATTTAATGCGCACCGAAAATAACATACAAAGGGTTAATGACACATACCTTTTAAATGTTAGTTATGTGCGTGACACGTGTATTTTTGTAATTATTACGTAATATTATAATAATAAAATTTACGTAATATTCTTATGTTTACAAATGGGATTTTTTTTTCGTAAAACATTTGCGTTTAATTCAGTGTAATAAAAAATTAATATTCGCAACAGAAATTTTATACACTCTATTAGTTAGAATTAATTATATAAATGATCGTTGAACAATACTTTATTTACGAATTAAGTCAGAGTAAATTTATCAGTACATTTAAAGAAAAAGAATTATTTACTATTAATTAATTATTAATATAACAATAGATCGCTATAATATATATGTACATATATAGTATTCCTCTTTGAGAAACCAAAAAGAGCTGATATGTTTTTATAACTAAAACAGTAAATATTAAATATTACACATGCAAATTATTTAATTATTAATCATGGTTTCTTTTTTTCTCTTTATCAAATTTAGTATATGTATATAAAATTATTCCAATATTGCGTGAAAATAATGAAATATGTTTCATTATACACGAGAGTCGTGTTCCCGATCCGTAATTTATAGATGTAGCATGGACACCCACCAAATGATGATTTTACCAACAATGTTGAAAAATAGTTGTGGCTACGTAATTATATGTGGTCTCTAAAACGGATGTAGATAGCAGTACTAAACGAAACTTGGCAGGACTGTGAAAGATGTCAGGTTTCTAATTTATCGACTTGATAGAAATGTCACAATCCTAACCTCCTTGGTTTACGCAAATGTCAACCAGTGTTAATTTTTGCGAACATCAATATCAATCAGGTAACTCTATTCTTGTTTTTTATGTTTTCTTATAAATAATCGTTATTGTGACACACGTACATAGAATGTTTGTCGAAAAATAAAGTATTCTTTACAATACTTATAAAGTAACGGAATGCTTTTTAGTAATTGATGTGCTTTGTAGGTTATATTCTACGATAATAATAAAGAAAATATAGAAAAAAATAATATGATTTTTTAATATATAAAATAAGAATATTTTACATAAATACATAACATAAAAATATATGTAGTGAAGTATTACATATTTACCTGCAATTTAATATTTTTGCTTTCTCTAAGTAGTATATTATTGTTTATAAATATTCGAGAGATATGCAACTGTCAGTTCTGTAATTTATTATTGCAGAAATAATAGTATAAATCTATAGATACATTAATTACAAGTCAAAAAATCGAAATATACATACACACAAGATATTACAAAAGCCTCTTTAATCTTTAACTTATCTTTTCATAGATATGAAATAAATTACATATTAGAATTACATACTAGTTAACTTTTAATATTTATATATTCATTTTTATTCTCTTAATACATCGCAATTGAAAATCATTTCCTTCTCGTTATACACTATTTTGTCTATTTTTTTCCAATTTGGCGATATATATAATATATATGATAAATATATCACAAATCCAATTTATAAACGAATGAATAAGTTATATATGAGCATGAATTTAATTGCGTATTAAATGCGTACATAGATTTTTCTGAACTTCACATCTATTTCTTAAGTTTTGCATTTTGAAAGCTCTAAGATTACATAGGCAATTTCTTTTCGATAATTTTATTTTTATTATTAAGAAACATGTCTTATAATTCATAGTGCTTTAATATACATATGCCATTTGGAAAATAATGCGCAGATTGCCATATCAAATCAAGTACCTAGGGAGCTATAATGAGAAATATTTGCAATGTGCTTCCTTTTTTTATCGAGCGTTATCGGAGTCAGAAATTATGTTTTCATTTAACGTGTCTTTTAAGATCTACTGTTCTCCATCTGTTTTTAATGAGGCGTTCTTCTGATTTTGCATTTTGGTTAAAAATTTATCTATCCGTTTTCCTCTGATTGCATAGTATGGATCATATGCTGTCAAAATTTCGTCAAGGAAACCGCGTTGATTTCTTGGCGATCGCTTGTTCGATAAGCGATTCGCATTAATATTGCAGTTATTACAACTGGACATTAATAACATTCTCAGGAAAGATTTCGCTAATGGGAAACTCGTCACTTCAATACGATTCGCGTCGTCCACGTTTCGTGATTGCGACATCGAATAGATACCGTTCTCGAATTCGTGCAATGCTTTTTTACCTCGGGAAATAACGTAAGGCTGAAGTAGCGATAAGTCCTCCAGAATATCGCTATGCTTGTTTCTTCGCTCTAAAGACATTGAGTCTTGAAGTTCTCTCTCGATATCCTTTAACCATTGATCCTGGAGCTGCGGTTCAGTCTCGCAGATCTCGCAAGCACTACGCTTTTTTCGATGATTGAAATAATTTTTTATTCTTGAACTTTCCGAATCAGACTTGTTTGTTAATTGCGAATCTGCTACTTCGATGTCATTCTTATCAATTTCTGGCTCATTCTTCTTATTTCTTGGTTCCTCCTCGCTTTCCAATTTTTCACGATGTGCATAATATTGAATTTTCCATGGTCTTTCGATGGGTTTGTTATGATCTATATCTTTTTTATTTAAGCTCTCTGTTCTGTTGTTAAGCTGATTTTTCATGCTAACTAAAATAAAAGTATCATCGTTGTACATATCTAAATCATTTAGCTTTTCGTTATAAGTTTTATTCTTCATCTGCTCGTACACATCTATTTCATTTTTTTTAACATTTTTCTCGAAACTCGTGTCGATTTTCTGAGTCTTATATTTTTTACGAATTTCGGAGAAATCTTTATTTTTCTGTAGTACTGATCTTTTATTTCTCTTATTCATGTTAGTAGCAAAAAAACTCTCCCGATTATTAAATTTTTTATCTTGACTAATTTTCGCGATTTTGCTGTTGTTTTCAATATGATTGAACATATCTTCGCGCTGTATGTTCTGCTTTTGTTCAACAAAATTTATAATTTTTTCATCATTAGCAGAGGTTTGATCTTGCTTTATAAACTTGAATTTATATGGTAATCTTTCCATCACATTTTTTATCTTATCTTTTTGATATTTTTTAATAAAGATATTATGAACAAAACTTGTAGAATCTTTCTCACTCTGTCTATTTTTAGAGATTTTGTCAATTTTGTAAGATTTTTCATCTTGACTTTTTGTTATTGTAACATTATTTAAATCTGTATCTTGGACAAAATTATAATAATTTATTTCTTTTTTCTGATCTTCCTGATTGTCAGTGATTGTATTATTATGAGATTTCTCATTCATTACGACAGATCTCCTGACTCGCCTTTTCATTGACGATCTTTTGCTTCTGCTTGGATATTCGTAATCTTCAACCGTCTTTTTCATTTGTTCTGTATCCTTTCTAAAAATTTTTTTTCCTCGTGACAATATGTAAGGATCGGCATTATTTAGACGCTCGTATGAACCATCCACGTTAGGATAGATATTAATCCATCTTGGCTCGTCCACATAAAACGGTTGTTGAATCTGCCAATTTTGATTCTGCTTACGATGGTTCTTTATTCTCGAGCAATCCTTTTGCGAATTGTCATTAACGTTTTCCCCTTCTTGAATGTCGATGGAAATCAAGACTGTCGGTTTGGCACTATCAAGTTTCGGCTTATCGGAAGATAATAGTTCAACTTGCGGAAGCAGCGCCAAATCAGACGGCCTACAACGAAATTATCTTTTATTTGTTTATTCGTTTCAATTTTATTATATATATTTTTTGTTCAATTGCATTGACAATTGTTCAAATCAATTTTGGATTAATCTTTCCAAAATTTTAATCGTATTTTTTAATGTTGGTAAAGAATTTTAAATTAGAGATTTATTGTGTAGGTATATATAAAATAGAATT